ATTGATGGTTCCTTGGATTGCTGAATCCAGAAATGTTTGATTTTTGCTTGACAAGCCATCCTGTGGGGCCTTGACAAGCCATCTGCTTGACAAGCCACCCCAGTTAGCCTCCTGGATCTGCTCTTGAGTTGACTGCCTGGCTGCAATTAATATTGTTACTTCCTAGGTGCATAGATGAAGAATATGCTGAAGGCTGTGGGTGCGACCTTTGCTAAACATGCTAAACTTGTTAGTTGCAACATTTTGAAGCCACTGCAATTCTGTGTGCTGTTACATGCATTTTCAAGGAACATTATGCATATGAATAGCATGGTACTTATAGCTGTATTTCTCATGGAATAACCAGGAGAATGGAGAAAAAGGTGCATTCATATTTTCACACCAGCATCCATTTCAATAAAGGCATGTAGGGAAAATATCAAAACATTATCTCTCCATTTGCCTAGTTATCCCACAAGGAATGAGGCTATTAGAACTTTGAAATATACACATTTTTGATGTGGTATTCCAGGTTTGTTGTCCTATTTTTAGTTGTTTTTCATCACCCAAGGGCATTTGCATAGCCATAGGGGTTGGAGTACAGCAGATGAGCCCCCACATTTTATTTATTTTGGAAACACATGAGAGGAATGGAATGACAGATGTTTAGTTGTGCTAATCTTTTGGATGTTCCCATGCCACTGCCTGAGGACATTGGTGCAACTTGTCTCAGCTGTTGTCATTCTTGTGCACACATGTGTCATTACATCAGAAATTAACTCACTGTCAACACGGCAACTTTTTCCGCAAAGTCTGATTGCCAGTAGTGAGGCATGCATAACATTTTGGGGCAGCTGTGAGAAAGTGTTGCATAAACAATTATATCAGTCCTGATATATATTGTTGTCTACCTTTAAAATGTAAATGTTATGCATACTGTCACAAAGAGGTCAAAAGGATGCCCTATTTTGGACAGTTGAGGCTGCTCAAATATCCTGTTCACATGGTAGTCATGGTTTGCATTCTAACTAATGACAAGTATCCTGGTGCATGACACTGAGATTGAGGCTAGCCCTGCTGCATTCCTCTGATTGGGGTTGTTTACAAACAGTTGTTGGTCCATTGTTGTATTGACCACATTATCTGTTTGCTTGTTTTGCCTGTCATGGATGACATATTTCTTGAATTGTGACCACCGTGGTTATGATTGACCTGAAAACTTCAGCATGAAAGCATGCACCAATTTGAACATATTTTTCCAGAATATGGCCAACACCAGCGAGATTCTGACTGACTCACAGTTCCAGTCATTGGAGGAAGAGAAGCAGCTATTAATGACATGGCAGAGGCTGCTGAAGAGTGATGTAGCAGCTATGGAGGTAGAGCTCAAAAGGCAGGCAGGGTAAGGCTTGTGTCATGTGTGCCATGTGCCTGAAGATGGGTGGCTTCCAGGTATGTTTTCAGCTCATTTGGTGTGTGCAAGCTGATGTTCTGCACCATTTGGGTCATAATTGGTGTGTTCATCATTAGACCTGGCTGTGCTTTATTAGTGGGTTAAGTATGTGTGTGGAGCTAGCTGCGAGCAACAGTTTCATATTCATGTTCAGCAGACATAATAGTCAAAAGGGACTTCAATTGTACACCATGCAATGCTGCATGCTATCCATATCCCAATTTGTGATCAAAACCGTCATAGAGTGAAAAGATTGCAGTATATTTGCGATTGATGTATCTAGCAACGTTTCATTGCAGGGAGCTTTCCACATTTCTGTGGGGTTTTGAAATGAAATAGCCATCTTGAAGACCTTTGGCTGCAGTTCACAACCCCACACTCCCTCTAGTTTCTGAGCTACACTACCGCGTAAATAGGGAGAGTATTTCGGAGAGTATTTCAAGGTCACCTTGGCATTCATGACGTTATAATGCCATTTAAAGCCTGCCATCCCATGCACCGAGAAGTGCCGATAAAAATATAATGGTCAACTCGTTCATATCTCGCTTTCGTGAGCACAATTTCCAGATATAATAGCCGTCAACTGGTTCTCAATGAAATGTCGGAAGGTACGATGACGTAGTCAAGCAATGCGGTATCGAGGAGCATATTTTCTGAACAGTAATTGTGTTTAGAGCGGTCACTTCTACTTAAAAGTATACCAACAGCTATAAGTGATCTCGTTTCATGACATGTGATGCTTGCTTCAATACATTTACGTGTGAAACATTTCCTTTTAGCGTATTGCCTTGCTTCCCATCGACTTGAGTAAAGGAATCCCTGTCTTGGAAAAGACCGAGGTCTTCGATTTCGTTTAATTCAAAATCGCGTCAGGCGTTGAACCTGCCATATTGCGTCGACGACTCAAGAATTTTTGTGGGCATCAAAAGCTCCGACATCTGGGATTCACCGGACACCACATGTGGAGTTCACCGAACAACACATGTGGAGTTCACCGGACACCGCATCTGGAGTTCACCGGACATCACATTGGTATTCGACGCTACCAATACATGCGTACCATAAAGTGCTGGGTCGGTGTAATTAGCTGGTTTCTTGCTATCCAGCTGAATCTATCTTAATCGCATCTGCCTACCGATCTTGTCACAATTTTAAAGTACACGAGATCATGTTAGACGCGCAAGGCCAAGGTCAGGTTGGGTGACGGCATGGCTGTACGAGCCCGTGTAATTGAGCACAGTTCCAGAAAGCGTCTGGAACGGCGAGTCGAATGGTGTCATTGACGCCACCGAATGAAGCATAGTTCTGAGGATAATGCCATACATTCCTCCAGATGTTCACTTTATGACTCAGCGTTTTATTTTCCATCGACTCGAACTCAGGACTCTATGGCCTGGAAAATCCAGACACCTTCGATTTCCTTCAAAATTGCTACCGGTGGTGAATGTACGAGATAACGTAGGCGACTCTTTGTTTTTCGAGCAGCATGGAAACCTGTAACCTCTGAAAGTTACTGAACACAACATTGTCTCATGCTGCCTGGCAACGTGAATCACTTGTTCGTGCAAGATCATCGCGCAGCCCGAGCTGGCTTCGCTGCTGGGTCTGCCATGCCACGTCTGGGATACGTTAGCAGCGGGAGGGTCGAGACACGAAATCAGAACAGATGTACATGGGTTCGAGTATGTCACTTACCGTACGGACCCAGCAGTGCCTGGTGATATTTACAACTCCGAATATATATTTTAGGTGCGGTGACCTCCAGAGGAGTACGAGCCTCCTTTCGATGCCCCGTGAGAAGCCGGGAGCGGTCGACGTAATCTTATATACTCCACACCGGCTCAGGATTCCGAAGGAAGTCTGAGAAATCGGAATGTTTCATGTCATGAATCCCGTGCTAAAGCCAAGGAGAAATAATGCAATAAGACATAATTATGTTTCCAGACACATCTGACGTTTCATACCGAACTATGCATCCTTCCATGACGTCAGTGGCATCATTCGACTCCCCATTTCCTACGCTGCTTGGAATTGTATCACTACACTGGCTCGTGCTCGTGCAAGGCCATCACGTGACCTGACGTAGCCTCGCCATCGGCCGGACGCTTGACTTATTGTGCCTTAAAACTGCGGTTCGATTGGAACGCGGACCCGATTAAAATAGTGCTAGATTGGTTTCCAGATGGCTCACGTTGCTGACCCGGCATGATATGGCACACTTGGCCATGTAGAACATCAGTCGCCCCCCCCCCCGTGAGGCACTACCTTTCCGTGGGGGGGGGGGGGGATTGCGTGCCCCAATGATCCTGCGGGCGGTTGGGGAGGCTTGTAAAGCTCCTTCCGGCCAAAGAGGAGGGGCCAGACGAAACGTGCCTCCCGCAAGGGCTCTGACTCGTTCAGAGTAGGGATTAGCAACCCCTCGGCCCCAGCTTTTCAGTCTTATCTGGGTCTCGCCGTACCCCGTTGGATCCACAGGTAGTGATGAAGGGATCCTGGTCCCTGAGGGAGTTGCCCTGCGGGTCAGTCGGGGCAGCTTACCAACACGTGGCTTTGGCCCGAATTTGTGATCCTGCGGATGCCTCGCGAAGTCTCCACACGAGGAAATCGGCTGGTCAGGCGTCGTGTTTTCGTGACACTGGCTTGGAGGCAAGCAGGTCATGTGACGGGTGTTGAGGGGGGAGCTGCCGGGTGCAGTGTCTGCCTCCTGACATCATTAAGGGGCCGTACCTCGGTTTGCCACCAGGGTGCCTGGTTAGCACCTGCGAACCGAGGCACTGGCGCCCGCAGACACGTGCCCGGTGGCTCTCGCAGCAACTCTTTTGGCACACTGGCCTGCGTATAGCGTGCTGGTAGCCCTGGCGGCTCCTCTCTTAGAAGTGGACCGTCCCCGTGTTGGGCTCCGTGGTGGGCGGGGAATCAGCGCGCCGAATATAAACACATACTTATGGACACTCTATCATCAACCAACCCCCCAAACCCCGACCGTCGTCCACTACCCCAGTTTCTGGTCGTAAGATCCGCCAAAGTAGATGACCAAGGAAGGACAGTTCCGCTCCGACTAAACCCATTTCAGCGCCAACAAGCATTTTCCAACATCGGGACGCCCAAGCATGTGTTTTCGTATGCGGACGGAGGCATAGAAGTGCATCTAACAGACGACCGCGAAATCCAGCGCATGCTTAAAACGACCACACTTATGTACAAAGTGCGAGGACAGGGAGAGGTTAGGGTGCCCGTATCGGTGCACCCTCACCCCTCTAAGAACTGCTCCAAGGGTGTGATTACTTGCCGGGACCTTCGCGGCGTGAGTGATGAGGATGTTGCTGAGGGCTTGTGTGAGGAAGGGGTGACGGCAGTGAGACGTATCAAGAGGAGAGAGAGAGGAGAGCTGACCGATACTGACTCAATTTTTCCGACGTTTTGCTCTGCGAGAGTTCCAGATAAGCTCCGCGTGGGATATCAGTCGGTTCCTGTTAGGGTCTATGTACCCGATCCAGTCCGATGCTACCGATGCCAGACGTATGGTCACTTCACGGACAAGTGCTGGAAAGAAGTTAGATGCGGAAAGTGTGCGGAAATAGGTCACCAACACTCTGAGTGTAAATCAGAAACCGTGAAATGCGTCAACTGTGGTCAGGGTCACGTGGCGTCATACCGCAGCTGTCAGTCCTTCTTGTCAGCGAAAGCTATCCTGAACATCAAAGTGAAGGAAGGAGTCTCGTTTCGGGAGGCCCAACGCCGACACAACGATGCGACCACCACAAGGACATACAAAGACGCCCTTACCCATCCGGCAAGAAATTTAGCCCAAGTAACACCCGCAGCCAACGAGGTACTGGAACTGAGTGGACTTGATGATTTCAAAGGCATGACTGTAGGCGAGTTTGTACAGCTGATACTAAGCACACTTGTATCAACTGGCTCTGCTGTTCCGTCGTACCGGAAGTCGGATCCTCCGGAAAAGAATCCACCTGCGGCATTGGCCGCCGCTAGAGAAGCTCAGCCTATGGGGCTGGAACCCCCTGGTGGAGCTGCCAGAGAGCCCGGGGCTGGGTTGCGACCCGGGAACGAGGGATGGACAACGGTCCAGCGAGGTTGTGGACTTCGCCCCCCATCATCGCACCCCGGCCCAGCCCGTGCTGAAGACACGCCCTCCCGGGCCCCATCTCCCCCTCCATCCATACCAGCTACGACGGGATCTGTCGTCGCTGGCACAGGGGCGCTACGAGAGTTGGCCCCCTCTGACTCCCAGCTAGTGGCCCTGCCGGAAGCGCCGGTCCCCCCGGCTCACGGGAACCGGACAAGGTTCGGCATCCCCCAGTCATCGCTCCCTCTCGGAGCCGCCCCTCTGAACTGTTGTTCGTCCGGGTTCTCTGGACCTTGGCCCTGCAGGGCGCGCCGTCAGGTCGGCGTCTGCACAGCGGACGGGGGGCCGGCTCCCGCTGTCGACTCCGCCCCACTCACCGGGAGGGTCAATGGGTCCGCCTCCCATCCCTCCACTTGGGGACGGGGTTTCGGGTCGGCCTACCCTGCAGTCCCCGGTGGCGGGTCGTGCAACAAAGCGTGCCCCTCCTTGGCCGACGTCGCCTACGGAGGGTGGAAGTCCCAAAGCTCGGCCAAGGGTCCGGCTTACCTCCACTGAAGTAGAGCGTCGCCAGGGAGATTTGTTCAGTGCAAAACCCTAGGTGAACGCTTAAAGCAGATGTAAGCTGTACCGATGGATCTTGTCGGTACAGCTTGTACCGATGTACCGAGGAAGTACCGGATTCGACACTACAGTCCATCTTCAATCAGCTTCCATCGCCGTTCTTGTTGCTAGGTGACTTCAACTCCCATAGCCCTTTGTGGGGCTGCAATCACACAAGCCGCCGAAGCCGACACCTTGAGCGTTTGCTGAATACAAATAATATTTGTGTTGTTAACACCGGCCGGCATACCCATATATCTCTGCCGTCCATCACCACTTCAGCGATAGATCTTTCTATCTGCTCCTCGTCCCTTTTCTGTCGGTTGTCTTGGTTCGTTGAGAGCACTACATATGGGAGCGACCATTTCCCAACATGGCTTGGGATGAATGCTGGACACCCAGGCAGGAGGCCTTCCTGCTGGAACCTTCGACGTGCTAACTGGCAAAAGTTTACTGATGAGTGCCGTATTAGAGTGCAGCCGACCGAGGACGACAATGCAACGTCTCTTGCACAACAAGTGACATCCACAATTGTCGACACCGCAAGGTCTTGCATTCCCTTGACATCACCTGAGCCGCGCAGGATCCCGGTTCCCTGGTGGTCAGAGGACTGCAAGGCGGCAATTCTCAAGCGGAAGCGGGCGTTCAGGGTTTTTAAGCGTTCTGCAACGACCAACAACCTCATCGCTTTTAAAAAGGCCAGAGCATTTGCGAAACGCACAATACGTGAGGCAAAGCGTACATCATGGAGGGAATATGTAAATGGTTTAAATCGTCACACCCCACTGAGTGCAGTGTGGCAGCGAGTTAATCGCATGTCCGGTAGGGGCGTCTCCACTGCAGTTCCGGTGTTGAAAATGGCGGGAATCACGATATTGAACACACAGGAAGTTTCCAACAAAATAGGTCTCGCATTTGCAGAAAGGTGCCGACATGGAACAGACGACCCACGCTTTATTCGTTACAAGAAACAAAGTGAGAAGACGGCAATCAATTTTAGAATTCCTGACTCAGAGATTTATGAGTACAACCAACCGTTCACTGTCATGGAGCTCTGCACTGCTCTTAAGCGAGCTAAGAGTGTTTCGCCTGGATTGGATTAAGTCCACAATGATATGTTGAATCGCCTAAAGAAGGAGTCCCTCCATGCCTTACCCTCACTTTTCAACTACATATGGTTGCAAGATGACTTCCCGGAGTCGTGGCGGGAGGCCATTATAGTCCCCATACGGAAGCCCGGAAAGGATGGTTCCGATCCACTGCACTACCGCCCAATTTCGCTGACTTCATTCCTATGCAAAGTGCTAGAGAGGATGGTGAATGATCGTCTCATGTAGTACCTTGAAACCCACGGTTGTCTTTCCAAAGTGCAATGCGGGTTTCGGAAGAACCGATGCACTGTTGACCACCTAACGATCTTAGACACAGCTATACGACATTCTTTTAAACAAAGACGTCACACGATAGCAGTCTTCTTTGACATTGAGCGGGCTTATGATACCACCTGGCGCTATGGCATTCTAAGCAAAGTACACAAGTGTGGACTCCGAGGTCACATGGCACTCTTCATTGAAAACTTTTTACGTCGTCGATTCTTCCGCGTCCTAGTGGGTGGCATGCTATCTGATCGCTATGAACAAGAGAACGGTGTTCCTCAAGGGAGTGTCCTTAGCGTAACCCTGTTTGCGCTGATGATCGATGATATCGCCGACTGTCTGCCACCTACCATCAGTCGGTCACTGTTTGTGGACGACTTTGCCATCTGGTGTGCGGCATCCACAACGACGTCTGCTGAGAGGCAGCTTCAGTTATGCCTGATTCGACTAACTGAGTGGAGCCTTAAGAATGGCTTCAAATTTTCGACCACCAAGACTAAGTGCACGCACTTAGTCTGCTCACGGATTAGAGGCTGTAGAGACCCGGAGTTGCGACTGTGTAATGCCACTATCCCAGTTTGTAACGACATTTGTTTCCTGGGCCTCACGTTTGACCGTCGGCTCACGTTTAAGCAACACTTTAAGATGGTTAAGACTAAGTGTCTCGAGCGCATGAACCTCATGAAAGTAATGTGTCGTATGACGTCTGGAGCCGATAGAAGCACCCTGTTGAACCTGTATAGGGCCCTAATTCGATCAGTCATCGATTATGCTAGTCCTGTCTACGATAGTGCTCCTACATCTTCAAAGCAGGTTTTGGACACAATCCACCATACATGTGTTCGTATAGCCACTGGGGCGTTTCGTACGACCCGAACAAGAAACTTGCTGGTGGAAGCGAATGAACCGCCCTTGCCTCTTAGGAGACAACGACTTACTGTGAATTACGCTACAAAGGTTTCACAATTTCCGGATCACCCAGCCTTTGATTTCATCTTCTCTCAGACGTTGATTCGTTCTTTCTTGAGGGGGCGGCCCACGTCAGCGCGGCTGATGTGCCTGCGCGTCTGGGACTGCCTGGACGAGGCGGATATTGCGCTGGATGACATTGCCCCGCACACTCTTCGGGACCCAGCTCCGTGGAGACGTCTGAGTATTAAGTATGATTTGGAACTCTGTCAGCACCTTAAAAATGGCACTTCACCACGAGAGCTCAGCATCTTAAAAATGGCACTTCACCACGCGAGTTCCTCACGTATTCGTTGGAACAGATCTCACAATACGCGAACTCATTACAAATATTTACCGATGGGTCCAAGGGCTCAACAGGAACGGGTTGCGCATTTGTTTGCGGTGACCATACCGTAGGTCTATGCCTCCCGCAGCACATGTCAGTTTTTTCCTCAGAACTGTTTGCCATTTTAGCAGCGCTTCAGTACGTTGCTTGTCGTCCTGAAAGGGATAGTCATTTTGACCGACTCGCGTAGTGCACTTTTATCATTAGACCTGACGGCGATGTCGCGTGACCACTCATTTTTGACTCGCTCAATTTGGGAGGAATTGGAATGACTGGACAGCACTTCCTGTCGTATCACATCTATGTGGATCCCCAGCCACATAGGAATAATGGGGAATGAAAAAGCCGACGCCGCAGCGAAAGCTGCGGCGTGTGAGAGAAACCCAATACCAATTTATGTACCCGCTCGAGATCTGAAGTCAGCCATTTCCAAATACGTCCGCAATACGTGGCAGGACATGTTCGACCAACACCTCAACGCTTTCAGGGAAATCAAGCCCCAACTGGGTGATTGGGAATCCTCCCATCGCCGAGGCCGCTTCCAGGAAGTCGCCCTTTGTAGGCTTCGGTTGGGTCATACATACGCCACACACTCGTTTTACTTGACGCGTAGGGATGTGCCACGGTGTGATAGATGCGGGGACCGGTTGTCTGTTGAACATGTGCTCGTCTCATGTCGGCGCCTTGAGACGGAGAGGCGACGATTTTTTCCTCCAGCGCCCCTTCATCGGTTACTCGGTCGAGACCCATGTGGTGAACTTGGAGATATACTCGCATTTTTAGCACACATTGACTTTGACGTTATTTTCACTCACCCCTCAGTGTAAGTGCGCCAGTGATGCTACCTGTTATCAGTTGACAACATACTTATCGCGCCGTCGCATAGGCAGATAACCGTCATCGAGTGGGCGCAAAATGGCCCTGATGCCGACGCGCCCTTAAAACCCAAATCACCACCGCCACCAGAACATCAGTCTGATCTTTCGTGAGCCCCAGAGGTCGCAGCGTTCGATGCCGCGCGAAAAGCCGACAGCTGTTGACGTTATCCCCTGAGACCTGTAGCGGTCTGAAAGCATGTCCAGGGGGTCCAGATTTTGCGGGCAGTGTGGTCTGGCGCTGAAGTCAGTGGGAAATAACACATTACGCCAACCTTACCCAATCTGTTCCGTGCCGGCGTCTCAGGAACATCTCCATGCTGAAGCCAGGGGTAAATAGTACATTGGACGACACCCATTGTTTGAGGAGTAAGTCGTGGAGATGTTTCAATCCTTTCGGTCTGTGATCGTTCCGAGGGGGGGGGGGGGGCATTTGTTTGGAATCCGCCTAACCTTTCGTACCGGAAAGTGTGTGATGCATGTGGATACGGGCGATATTTAAACTGTCGGCATTTTCTACCCCTGGAGGTTAAATCGCTTGGTACCTCGCGAAATGCGTCTGCGTGACCGCTCAGAGAGTCATAGTCTGTTTTTGGTTACAAGTGTCGACAAGATCGAGGCGGACAACGATTTCTGCTAAGCGTGAATGAGATGTTGCTTACTTCACAAACGTGTGGCTTAAGCTGCTCTAAGCCTTCCTAATCTTGATTACTGATCTGATGATGCCGCCCAGACGTCCCCTTCTTTTATGTCAGATTCTGTCTCCAAATGCAAGCGATCTGTGAGCCTTCGACTGGCTTCTAGAGTGTAAGGTTCACGATCATTCCGATCTGTCGTTACGTTGCAGGCTGACCCCGGGGGGCGATGTCAGCATGCATGAACATCTGGTCGCCATGAACCTGGAGCTTAGCGGCCTGACCTATGACCAGCTGGACTTCCAGCTGTTGTCGGCCGACGGAGGCGTCTCCGTCACCAAGTGGAACGTCCAGGTTACCAGCAAGGACGCAGATGCATCGCTCACAGTGTCCTACGTCACTACTAGGGATGAGGTATGCCGGTGCGGCCGTGGTTGGGTGTGCACCACCTGAACCACGTTTTGGTGAACTGCACTTGCGATGGAAACCTGTTTGCCCCTTGTAAACCGTTTTCTGGGTAGTTTAGTGTTTTGCAGTATGATTCATCGCTGGAACACACGTCACCTCAGGCCACAGCAAAGTGGATTGAGCAGAGCTTGGTCTGTCTTGCCTCCCCCCTCGCGAAAGCACCCCGAGTACGGCTCGATCTCCGTGCGACGCCATTCCAGCGGTCGCGCGTCACCTGCAGCGAGGTGGAGGCGACCGCCTGGAGCCGGGTGCTGGAGCCGCTGCTGGCGGCCGCCGGCAGCAGCCTGCACCGGCTGCTGTTCGGCCTGTACGAGCTGGGCCGGCTGCACGCTGAGCGGCGCGCTGTGCTGGCGCGGCTGGCCGGCGAGCGCAGCGGCGACCAGCTGCCGCTGCCCGACGGCCGCCAGCTCCAGTGGCGCGTCGAGTTCCAGGCGGCCGAGGCACGCTTCCAGCACGCGTTCAGCGTCACCAGCGCCCGCGGTGGGTCGACCGGGCCGTGTGACGGCAGGGATGAGCCCGCGGTCTGCGGCATACTTTGGAAGAGGTAGCACAGGAGGACTTTGCTAAGATGTTGCCAGCTTGTGAGTTCGTCGTTCGTTTGCTAAGATGTTGCCAGCTTGTTTACAGCGTTTCAAAGGCTCGGTTATTGTCGCACTGCGCCTAAAACCAAGGGCTTTGAAACGGTGTAAAATGCCCTGATATTGGACAATGGTTTAAATGTCATGTGCACCTGGAATAAATGTTGTGGGTCGGCGCGGACGGGGCAGGGTGTGGGCTGAAGATGCTCCGTTCGCGGGCGGCAGAGGTTTACAAGCTTAAAACATTTTCCACGTCGACTTCTTCACCCTGCTAAAGGAACTGAAATGCGATCTCATTGCCCGTAACAGTATACAGCCCCATCAAACACTATGTGAAATCTTTTGGGTTTAGATCCTCACCTTGTTAAGCCTGAGTAGAATGGTGTGCATTGCATGCCTACGTGTCTGGTTCACCCTCCATGACATGCATTAGGGTGATAATCATGTCCGATTTGCCCGTGGCTCCATCACACTCAGGTATTATGTTCGCGCAATAGAGCGTGCCGCGATCGGTGATTGGCCCTGTGGTGGCGAAATTCCGACCGGCAGTCCGAGCCGTGCCGAAAAAGTCGCGCTGTTGCGGAACCCGTGGTCCTCAGGCAAGTCGTCCTTTATCCGACGATTGATGCGGTTGACGATCCCCAGCTTCAGGCACCGTCACTGGCCTGGAGTTTAGCTCAGGCTCAGCGAAATCGGTCCTGACAAAGCCATGTCGGGTCCAGGCTTCGGCTCCTGACGCATGAGTTAAATTTGGACTTTAGCTCCATGGCATCGCGCCCAAGTTCGTAGGCGGATAGCTCCCGCAGTTTGCACTCCCAAGCTATAATTACACAAAGATAGTACTTATGTAAGTTGTTAATTGCATTTGCAAGGAACGTACACGTACACGCACAAAGACACGTACACGCACATGAAGCAGCATAATTCGCCCTATTCCTGGTCAAATAACTAAGAGAAAGGAGAAATGGACACATCAATATTTCGGCTACATACTTTTGTCAAAACGAATATCAGCAGTAAATTCGAAATTGTCCGTCAGTGCCATTCGGGTTTTTAAGTTGCTTTTTAAACAGCGGACCACAGCTTTTACAAGTCCCCAGCATTCAGTTGATTTAACAAGCAACAATTGCCAGCTACTGTTACGATACAATAATTAGCTGGGAATACAAGGTAAAGATTAGAAATGCGTCAAAACACGCCTGCATCCAAACGAGTGCAAGTAAACAGCATCACGCATCACATATACAAACGATTTCAAGTAAACAGGTATCACGCATCAGGCATCACTCGTGCATGTGATCGGTTTCAAGCGCACCACGCATTAAGGCATCAATCACTTTCGCATAGTCGGCCGTGATGAGCCCAGTACGTTTAGGTCTGGCCGCCGACTTTTTATAAGGGTGGATTCACTTATTTTCCCCTCTGGATGGTCTTATGCTCTGTACAGCTTGAGTGTGTTTCCTCCAAAAGCAAGAAATGGTTACCGAAAAGTGTATTCTCCGTTGTGTTGCTAGTGTCTGGCAGGCTTTTATTATACACCAGACGAAGCGGGGACATGGAACCTACGACATAGACCATGTTCCTCTCATGTTTATCGCGCTGTTTGCTTTTGCTTTCGTAAATCACATTTTTCTGCGTGCAAACCCCTTGAATTCCGACTTGCATAAATAATATAGATTCCCCCCCCCCCTCCCCCGCGCACTTTGCGTCGGGTGGAATATTTCACCAAAGACGCCTTGCCTACTGTCGTTCTTCCAAGCTATGCGCACGCGCAGCGTGGTTTCCTACTACTTACCCTCCTTCGTGCTCTATATTTTTTACCGCATGAAAAGCTTAAAAGTAAGGGTAGGTCCACGAGGTAAACAAATGTAGAACGCGTGGGCTAGGTGGTAGGAAACGGAAACACGCCCCGTCGGAACCCAACTACGCCTATCAAAACCGCGCGTACACAAAGCTTGGAAAAACGACAGCAAGCGAAAAATTGGTCTGGTGAAATCTTCCATGTCGAAGCGTGGGTGCCAAGAGAGGGGGGGGGGGGTACCTTTGTTATTTATAGAAGTCGCGGTTTCAGGTGGTTTGTACGCAGAAAAACGTATAAGAAACGAAGTGTAAAATGTGCGAAAAAAACACGGGAGGGACGTTGTATATGTCGCGGAGTCCAAGTGCCTCATTCGTTATAATATGTAATGGCCACATGTGAGACGCTAACAGCACAACATAGCAAAATGTATCGCTGTCGACGACCTTTTTTGGCAAAACACACTTAGGTCGAAATACAGGGGGTACGGACCCTATATTCACGTTTTAGAGCTCAAAGTTATCTACAGAGCACAGGACCATCCAGACAGGAAAGTAAGTGGGTCTATTCTTGTAAGAAGTCGGCGGCCAGACCTAAACGTGTGCCGTGTGTGTGAGGTGCTCATCACGGCCGATGTCGCAAAAGTGATCAATGATTCAATGCGTGATGCATGCTAGCTTGAAATGTCTGGTCACCACTAAGCGTGGCGACCGATGACCTGAATGTGACAGTTTCCTGCCGTCAGGGCCGCTGTCTCCGCTGACCCGATTCTGCCGTGTTTTCAGGCAAGGCCGTTCCCATGCCGACGGAGGTGCGGCAGGTGGTGCAGGAACGCGGTGTTGAATGGGCGCTGGGCCGGCTTCAGGCCCGGGACGGCTGACCATGGGCCGGCATGGCTGACCCCGGCCCGGGACGGCTGACCTCGGCCCGGCATGGCTGACCTCTGCCTAGAACGACTCACCTCAGGCCGGCACCACTAACCTCGGGCCGGCACGCCTGACCTCGGACCGGCCGGCTTACCTCGGGATGGCACGCGTAGCGTCTCGTGCAGACCCGGGTGCCGTCGCTCCGGCGCGCGCCGGCGCTGTCCGTGGAAGAAGTGTCAGGCGTAGGGTGACGTGAACTGGGACGGCGACAGTGGGTTCGATGTGTGAGTGGGCTGGGGCGGTGAGATCGGGCGAAGCGTGAGTACCAGTACTGGACGGAGCGCGGCAGTCTCTGGCCTGTGCTCTTAAAAGCTGCACATCGCAGCCAATCCCAGTTCAGACGTTTCCATTTGAATAAAACTTGCCAATCATCTGCAAACTGACTTAACATATGCGGGAAGTAGCGTGAGAAGAATAAAAGGCACGTACAGAATATATATATATATATATATATATATATATATATATATGCGTACAATACTGTTTTGTTATATATATGCATGTATATAACACTATTTCGTACAAGATAACCTGGCAATAATAGTGATGTGTTTTGGTACCTACCATTTATACTACCTATAGTTAAGATAATTGTTCTGTAATTATTTGGCCCAACATTCACCATACTCAAATATATTCCAGGAGGTTGCTCAGACGAGCATTGGGGGACATAAGTCGACGTTGGGGGACAGATTGGGAGATATAAGTCGGCTTGGGGGACTCAGAGCCCAAAAGCATATTAGGTGACGTCCGTCACTGGAGGCTCCTAGAATGTTGCTGCCGTTTGCTCGCAAGCGCCGTGACGAATGTATCATGGTAACCAGAGATATGAAAAACTGTCATCCGACCCTCTCATCCTGCATTCTGCGACACCCAGCTTGCCCGGGGCAGGCTGCATGCACCAGCCACGAGTGGGTCGAGAGGCGTCCTGGAGGAGGACTAGACCGGGCGGGCTCCCTGCGTATATTCTGCAAAGGGGTACTCGCGGGCCTGGGCTCGGCGGCTGCCCCCCCCCCCCCCCCCCCACACACACACCACATGCAATGGTCTTGCTCCACCGCTTTCCATCCTCCGTCATCCCATAAACCTGAAATTATTATTACGTGGCGAAAAGACTCATCCAATTAACTGATAAGGAACAGATAAAAGAAGCGACTAAACGGTCGCCCAAACCTGTTGACAACCCCATGCCCCGAGCCTATGGCACTGATTGACACGGAACTTTCACCATTCGATGTTGCTTAGCCGATAGCCCATCCTTTCCAGATCACGGCGACCCTGGGTCAGGTCAAATGTCATCATAAATGAAAAAAACAGGTTCCAAACAACCCCATGCTGCGAGACTTACGCACCGATTAGCACGAAACCTTCACAATCGATGTGCCATAGTCGGGATCCTATCCTTTCCAGAGCTTCGTGAACTTGGGTCGAACTGAACGCCACAAAAAACGCCCCAAGGCACCAAACTTCGTTGCAGACAACCACATGCTCCGAGCCTGGCGCCGACCAGCACGCAGCCTTCACTAATCGATGTGCCATAGTCTTTATTATATCATTGCCGGAACATGGGAGCTAAGGCCAGGTCAGACGTCACCAAAAATACCCCAAACGACCAAAATTTGCTGCAGGCAACCCCATGTCCCGAGCCTGTGGCGCCGATCAGCATGTGTTTGATATCTATGGTGGCCTTTTGACCTAATCCAAGGTCACCATGGCCTGGAGAGGAGAGGTCATTGACTACGCGGGATCAAACGGTGAAGATTTGGTGCCGATCAGTGCCATAGGCTTGGAACATGGGGTCACCAATAGCTTGGTCTGTCGTTTAGTCTCTAAATGGGACGAAAGCTGTCGGCCAGTACGTGAGGGCCGCCGTCATCTTGGTACAGTTATCTCGCCGTCTGTGGCGACCAAGGGTGGCGACTACCAGCAGGTCGGTGGAGGGGGTTAGTGTTAATATTGGTGGCCGCCGATACCTGGTTGCTTTCTAACGTTAGAGAAAACCATTGTACACCATTCGCCGTGTTTAAGGCGGAACGTATCGTAAGTAATCTTAAAACAGGTAGATTCATGCTTCTACCTTCAAATTTCAATAACTACGATAGCGAGCCCCCGAGCGCAGCACGCGCCTGACCGCCTCGGCTCCCCAGCGCCGTTTCTGCATTGTCGTTGCGTAATTGCAATATTTCTGTTTACCAAGAACCATGAAAAAATGTACGGGACCAAGAGAACAATAATCATGCAATGAAAAACGTTTCCTATCGCGTATAGGTACGTTTATGAAACGGACAGGCCAGAATAGTCCAGAACATAGCCTAAACTAGCCTAGCCTAGCCTAACCTAACCTAACCTAACCTAACCTAACCTAACCTGACCTAACCTAACCTAACCTAGCCTAACCTAGCCTAACCTAACCCCCACCCCATCCCCTTCAACCCAGTGTCCCAATGGCATCCATGTTCCATGCCATATATATATGTACCGTATTAAGAACTTCTGTTTAGCCGCCATATTCTCATTTTGCTTTTCATTCCCACGCAAAAACGTCATATTTCCCCACCATGTTGACTAATCTACAAACAATATGGAAAACTGCTTGGATATGCAAGAAGCACATTTTATTGAATTCTTGTTACCGTGGCCTCGTACATTTTTATGGCTCTTGATGCGCAGTAATATTGTGATCACACTGTAATGTTGCGATCACGTGTAGAAATGGCGCCGGGGCCGTGGTTGCTGTGTGTTTGCGCTCGGATGTTCGCTATCGTGGTTATTTAGGTTCCAAGAGCTTAGATGACCCGTTTTACGGTTAATTACGATATGTTCTGGGTGTAGGTGTACTTTCCTACCTAACGTTAGGAAAAATCATTGCACACCATTCGTCGTGTTCAAGGCGGCACATATCGTAACTCATCTCAAAACAGGTAGAATCATGCTCCTACCTTCGAATTTCAATAACTTCGATGGCGAGCTCCCGAGCGCCGCGCGCACCGCACCGCCTGGACTCCCCAGCGCCGTTTCTGCGTTGCCGTTGCGTAAATACAATATTTCTGCTTACCAAGAACTCTACAAAATGTACGGGACCAAGGTAAACCATTCGTCGTGTTTAACGCGGAACATATCGTAAATAATTTCAAAACAGATAGAATCATGCTCCTACCCTCGAATTTTAATAAATACGATAGCGAGCTCCCGAGCGCCGCACGCCCCGCACCGCACTGGCTCGACTTCCAAGCGCCGTTTCTACGTTGTTGCGAAAGCACAATATTTCTGCTTATCAAGAACCATAAAACATGTACGGGACCAAGGTAACAATAATAAAGCAACCAAAATCGTTTCTTATCGAGTTTAGGTACATTTATGAAACACGCAGGCCAGAATAGTCCAGAACATATCCTAACCTAACCTAACCTAACCTAACTGAGAATAGACCAGCACCTAAGCTAAGCTAAGCTAAGCTGGCCTGACCTGACCTGACCTGACCTAACCTAACCTAACCTAACCGTTCCATGCCATATATAGGTGCCATGTAGTGAGCTTTTATTTAGCTGCCATGATCTCATTTTGCTTTACATTCCCCACCCAATCCCCCTGCAACCCATGGTCCCGTTGGCGTCGAGGATCAAATTTCATGGATTCTTGCTACCTTGTCCCGGTACATTTTTATGGTTCGCAGTAAATATGGTTTATAGTTATAGTATGGTTTATATAGTATAGCTTATAGTTATAGTTATGGTTTATAGTATGGTTCGCAGTTAATATGGTTTATATGGTAAATATGGTTTATGTTTAGTAAATATTTTTATGGTTCGCAGTTAGGTTATGGTTGTCCTGCCTTAAACATGACGAATGGTTTACTTCGGTCCCGTACATTTTGTACAGCTCTTGGTACGCAGAAATATTGTATTTACGCAACGGCAACGCGGAAACGGCGCTGGGGAGTCCAGGCGGTGCGGTGCTCGCGGCGCTCGGGGGCCCGTCATCGAAGTTATTGAAATTCGGAGGTAAGAGCATGATTCTACCTGTTTTGAGATTATTTACGATATGTCATGCCTTAAACACGACGAATGGTGTACAACGATTTTTTCTAACGTTAGGTAGGAAAGTACACCCTGACCTATGTTTGCCATGTTATTCTTCCTTTTTTCATATAGAACACCTACCATGTAGCCTTCTTGAGTGCGTGAGTCTTGTCTAGGTGCCTTTTGATGAACAAAATTATATTTTTGTACAGCTGCCATTGGATGGTTCTGCTTGACTGCTGCATGTTGCCACATTTATTACCTAGATAGAGTGTAAGTTCTGTACCTGTGCTTACATTTCTATACAGGGTACCAGGTATGCATGCTCATTACCTGCAGGTGAAAGGCCACTTAGTGTTGTGCAGGAGGCAGTTATTCCAAGAATCCCCCTTTTTATAGCCTGTTACTCCCTTTAGGGACAGAGTCCTGGTCAAACGCTTACAATGTGGGGAAACCACCCAATAGTAAATCAATCACTGTCTCATCTTGTGTATGTGCACAGTCTTCAGCACATGAGCTGTACAAGAACAGGCCCAGCAGACATTTTGTCCTTCATGTTTTTAAAGAGGGAAAAGTGGGATTGGATTGGGTCTAGCTGAGTCAAGTGATTAACTTTGGTGTTACACAATGAAGCAAGATGCGAGTAAATTCAGGGGCCTGTGATATCTGGTTGGTACCAGTCATGTTTGTTACCATTTTTTTGTGTTGGAATGTAAAGTCATGCTTAACAATTAATAGATCATGTGTGTTTTGCTTCTGCAGATTACTATAACGTGACCACAGATACGTGCCAAGCCTTTACCTAAGAATTAACCAAGAATGGAGGCATCTGGCAAGCAAGGTGGTGCGGCAACAGGTGGACAAGATATTCAGCTGGGATTTGTGGAAAATGCTGAAGCATGGAAGCTCATCAGTCGGTTTTTCCCTACAAAAGTTGGTGGAAAACCAGCCTGGCTAGATTTGAAGAACCTGCCCCCACCAGAAATGATGAAATGCTTCCACTGTGATGCCCCATATGCATTCTTATGCCAGATCTATGCACCTATTGAAGAGAAGGATTCCTGTTTCCATCGCACAATATTTTTGTTTATCTGCAAAAACCCAGCATGCTCACAAGAAGATGAAGGTGGAATTGTTGCGTTACGGTGCCAGCTTCCTTTAGATAATGAGTTCTATCCGGACACACCATTCGAGGAGAGGCCAGTTGTGGGCAAGGATGAGTACGGAGCTGAACATTACATGAACATATGTGCTGTGTGCGGATGTCTTGGGAGCAAACAATGTGCAGGCTGCAAGAAGGTACATTACTGTGGTAAAGCACACCAAACCATCGACTGGAAAATGGGACATAAACAGAACTGCAAAGGTACAAAAATAGACTTGCTATGTTTGTTATTTTCTGGCATAGTTCTGTTTGCAAGCTAGTTGGCGTGGACCGTAGGTTGTCAGCATTTTAACTGCCAACGTACCACATTCATTTGAAGGTGATGCATCTTCAAGCCAGTAATGCTCAAATCCATCCCATTCTGCAGCAAACTGGTTGCATTGAAATATGCTATTGTGATGAGAGCGTAGTCTCACAAAATGAGTTTGGTGGAGGGCAGAACAGTGAAAAATGGCCCAACCTGCCCAAGATACGCCTTCAAAAACGTTTCTCCATAGATTTACCCATTTTCCTCCCCAAGTCGAGGTGGGGCTGAAGTCCCCCAACTGAGCAGGAAACTTCACTCCCAGTATGGGACGAACTGTTCAGATCTGATCTCATCGGCTTGAACTGTTGGTATTCGCTGGATGTCCGCTACAGGGGCCTGTGGGTGATGCGGCTCCTCAGAAGGATCTTTGGAATATCTTATCGACCACCGCATGTTGTGCATCTTGTTGCCGGTGTGAGACAATTCATTTTTGTTGTACGTATCCCGCAGAAGTTGGCAGGCCGGGTGATGGCAGTTCAAAGTTTTTGCTTCCTGAGGCCGACGTTGTTATTGAAGAAGAACCGGCCGACGCGAAGAAGAGAGAGAAAACCGACGAGGAGAAGATGGCTGACTACGCCACACTCGTGAAGGACAAGATCGAGTCACTGCCAGGTGCGCTGATGTAGATATACCTGTCTTTTAAGCACAGCTTGTGACGGTGTCGTACATGCGCGGCTGGACGCGCTTGTTCAAAGCCAGCGCTTTCTGCCGCACATGAGGTCTTAGTCTGCACTCCTTTTTGCGACCAACTTAACTTGGCACTGATTTATTTTGAAGGCTGCACGAGATCCCTGCCTGTCGTCTCATCTTAAATTAGGATCTTTGTGTTCTGTGCCAATTCACACAATTCTAGCATCGACGCACATGGTCTCAGTTGTGACGTCACGTTCGGCGAGCTCGAGCTCATTTCGCCCCCTTTCCTGGAGTGTCCTGGCTCATACTACTTTCAATCCCGTTCGCTCCCACGCTGTGGTTGCAGGTCGCCGCGGGCGACCACATGCCGCACGTGCTCCGAGGCGCCACCTCTGACCATTCGCTCGCCGCAGACGCTGACGTCGGCGAGCTGGACAAGATGGCGTCCAGCGGCGGCGACGACCCGGTGTTCACTCGATTCCGCAAGCGGGTGGCGCGCGAGCCGGAGCAAGTGGTGCGGTACTGGCGCGGCGGCGCGCCGCTCTGGGTCAGTAGCCGGCGCGTGCCTGCCGCCGCAGACGTGCCCGCCTGCCGCTGCGGCGCCGCCCGCCAGTTCGAGTTCCAGGTGAGCGGTGTCCAACCCCAACCGCCTCCGAAGTTGTGGGGCGTGTCCGGCACGGCCGGCAAGTCCCTGCCTCAACGCCGGGCTGGTGCGATCTGGGGCCGCGACAAAACGGCCCGTGTTACCGTGTGCCGGGAGCTGTGCCTTGTCCGGCCCCGGCGTACCAAGCGTGCCGTGACGCCGTCTCGCACCACCGTTCTCCGCAGGTCCTGCCGCAGCTGCTCAACCACCTCGACCTGGACGAGACGGGCGACAGCGTCGACTGGGGCACGCTGGCCGTGTACACCTGCTCCGACAGCTGCCAGCCGCCGGCCGGCGAGCCCGCCTATGCCGCCGAGGTCGTCTGGAAGCAGCAGCTCTGATGCAATACAGGCGCTCGTTAGGCAGTGGTGACTGTATTGGATCGGTGGCGGCCCGTCCGCCGTCTGTGGCGTAAGCTCTGGCGGACATTCGTGCACCCGAAACGCGGCCAGTCCCCGCACGAACCAACGAACGAAATGAAAGCAAGCTGCAGCGATATGAATCACGGCGCCTCGTGTGCGCGCACAACACAGTAGCTCGTCAGTAAGCCACCCCAGGCACACGGCGTGACTTGCACACGCGAGCATGTTGACAAGAGCACGAATCGCGACATAAAACCGACAATCCGACACAAAATGCCACGACCTTCACGACCTGCAGGGAAGAAAACCAACTGTCTCGGTGGCTATGATCGGACGGACCAAAAACAATCGGGATGCGCGCCAGGTTCTGCACCTCGCCCTACGTCGCGACTCTGAGGTATTATCCGTCCCTACCGAGGACTCTGTCGCCTACTCTCTTGCCCCGCTGCGGGATCAGGCCAGCTCCCGCTCCCACAGCGGACTGATGCGCCGCACTGACCAGCCGGCTGGGGTCGGCTGCTGGGTTCAGCCGCCGCGCTCTGAACGGCCTCAGCGGTATGCCGCCACCACAAAGTCTGGCACTGTAGCGGCGCCACAGCGTCCGCGCGCGTGGACCGGCCGCCGCCGCTGCATAGAGGATGTCAGGTGGCCGCAGGCTTTGTACGGGTGCGCAGCCGGCGCCGGGCGTCGTCAGAGGGCGGCCGCCGGCGGCGCCGGCTCGGCGTGCTCGTCACACGGCGCGAACCGAAGCGAGACGGCCTGAGAGAGTACCGTGACACCAGCTGTGCCTTCCGGCGGCAGCCGCGAACACAGCGTCTGACGGGGGAGAGAGCGGTAGGTCAGACGCACAGCGTCTGACGGGGAGAGAGGCAGGCCAAAGGCACAGCGTCTGACGAAGAGAGACAGGTCGGGGGCACGGCGTCTGACGGGGAGATGAACCGGGTCAGGGGCACAGCGTCTGACGGGGAGATAGAACCGGGACAGGAGCACAGAGTGCGACGGGAGGGAGGGAGGGAGAGAGAGATCCGACAGTAGTACATTGTGACGGACAGGGAGACACACGCGAACTTAGTGACTGTTGATTGGGCAGACTAGGTCGGGACTACCGCATTTGATACAGTGAGGGACAGCTAGTGAAGTAGACATCTGGAGCAAGCAGGAACTTTTCGTGGATACCAGGTCACGAACAAATACCGGTGCTGAGGGACAATAGACGAGTAAATAGCGACAATATAGCGAAGAGAAATCGTAATGGCCGAGTGGTTACTGCCTTCAGCTGCAGCGCGTTTTGCCCCGGTTCCAATCCTGGATGCGTTATGCGCCCCATGCCTCCCCCCCCCCCCCCCGTGCTAATATGACCACCTGAGTGAATGACGGACCACAGATCATGTGCTTCGACAAAAGAGAACAGTGTGCGCAGGACGTGCGTGCGCGCCGGGCACTCGGTGCGGCTCCGCGGCGCCCGGTCCGCGCTACCTGCGGACTCTCGGCGTCAGCGCTCATGTAACCGAGCACGAAGCTCGCAGTGCAGTGGCCCCAGGCGACGTCGACGGCGCCAAGCGCCGGGTCGTGCCGCAGCGCCGCCGCCCCCGCCAGACGCTGACAACCCGGCGGGATGTAGTGCGAGCCTGTCGGGCCGGCGCCGCGCATCGCGTTACCAAGGGGAGCCGGACGCGGCGACAGGGGCGTGGGGTAGGGCTGGTGGCGGGTCAGCTCAGCGCCGAGAGCGGAGCCGGCCGGAGACGCCAGGGAAGGCATCTGATGGCGTCGCCGGTAACCAGCGGAACACCGTTACGCAATGCAGAATTTAGGAGGATGCTTGATAAAAGCTGTCATAACCACAGCGAGATGGCGAAGCTACTCATGGCGGCAGCTAACGCCGGCGTCAACATTGTCCCACGGGGCAGCCTCCGGCGGGGAGAGGCACGCACAAACACATCGATAATATATCACGAAAAGCTGCAGACGACGTCAATGACACCCACCGGCAAAGCCGTCGCTGGCGTCACTGGTAGCCACCGGCAAGGCCGCCGCTGACGTCACTGGTACGCACCGAGGAAGCCCCGCTTGAGGCCGAGCTGCAGTCCCTGTATGGCGTGCTCGGAGCGGCTGATCTCGGCGGCGACGCGGCGCGCTAGACAGCTCATCACCAGCTGCTCGCCCGTGCCCGAGGTGGTGACGCCGACGCCGTAGCGGCCGGTGGTAGCGGCCGCATCCACCCAGCATCCGCAGCCGAACAGCGCCGCCTGCCGGCACCGCGCTGCACTAAACCCCACCGCCACCTGCTGGCTCCGCCACACAACTCGTCGCACGGCTGGACTGCACGGCGCCTAACTACGGCTGAACTGCACGGCGCCTAACTCTCGGCCGCTGAACACATCGCCAACTGCCGGCGTCGGCGGCAACTGAACCCCGGCGTTGCGAGGAAGGCCGCGTCCGTGCGGCAGCCATCCCACAGACCCCGTCCACAACAGGACCACACGGCACCCGACCCACAGAGACCAGTCATCAACCCATCTCGCCCTACCCCACCCGCGGCCCGTGAGCTCCCAGCACACTTGCACCGCTCTGTCGCGCGGCGCCGCTCACCTGTCCAACACGACCGGGGTGCTTGAGCATGATGCCGCCGCTGGAGGAGGCGGCCGCCATGTGCCCGGCGCAGTCGATCACTACGGCGCCGACCGTGTCGCGCAGCTCGCTGTCCGCCTCCTGGCGGCCGACAGCGGCGCTCTCAGCGGCCGTGGAGACGGCGCGGGACCCCGCCGCGAGGCCGACACGCCGCGCGCGCCGGGGCGCTCAGGGAGAGGGTGGCGAACTGCCGCCTCTTAGCCACGCAGTCGCTAGTTAGTTGGTTAGCAGTGGCACGCTGTTAGATGTGGCGTGACGCCTGGACTTGCCTCGCACTTCCGCACAAGAGAAATGGCTCATGACAACAACGCATCTCAATTCGTTCCGATGTCTGCAAAATGGGACAAACGTCCTGAAAATCGCCATTCCATTCAATTCGCTTCGCGGTTTTACCATGGCCGGCGCCGACGGTACGCGCAAATCTGGCGGCGCGCTCGGCCGCCCCAGACCGCTCACCTCCGGCTCACGCCAAACTTCCTCACAGGGGCCGCTCTGGCGGCGCGCTCGGCCGCCCCAGACCGCTCACCTCCGGCTCACGCCGAGCCTTCTTACAGGGGCCGCCCTGGCGGCGCGCTCGGCCGCCCCAGACCGCTCACCTCCGGCTCACGCCGAGCCTTCTTACAGGGGCCGCCCTGGCGGCGCGCTCGGCCGCCCCAGACCGCTCACCTCCGGCTCACGCCGAGCCTTCTTACAGGGGCCGCCCTGGCCGCGCTCCGCCTCGTCCAGCGAGCGTTTGTACTTGTCGAAGCGGCGCTGCGCCTCGGCGGTGACCAGCTGGCCACCGGGTGTGGTCGACAGGCCCTGCGCCTCGGCCCAGCGCACGACCGCCTCACCCACCAGCAGACTGCCGAGAACAGCGCCTGGTCAGGCAGTGGGGCGGCGCCTGGTCCGGTGGTGGGGCGACGCCTGGTCAGGCGGTGGGGCGGCGCAGGGTCAGGAGGTTAGTCGGTCAGGCGGTGGGGCGGCGCCTGGTCAGGTGGTGGAGCGGCCAGGCGGTGGGGCGGCGCCTGGTCAGTTGGTGGGGCGGTCAGGCGGTGGCGCGGCGCCTGGTCAGGAGGTGGAACAGCGCCTGTTCAGGAGGCGGAGCGGTGTCTGGTCGGGTCCGGACCAATCCACCGAGTCTATCGGTTCGTAGACGAACCAAGTGAACCTGGGAGCAAAGCAGCACCAGCTTCAATCAACTAGGCTCCTTCGCTCGCCAGAGCAAAGCTACTCGAACAAACGGCTTTCCCCGAAGAGGAAAGCGGCCAGGATCATGTTACACGCGATCAAACACGTGCCCGCTCAGTCGACGGAACATCGGAGCCGAAGCACATCCCAAACAAAGACGCTGAACCACCCCCGGCGCGCACGCCACCCGACACTCACTTGGGGGGCTCTCGTCCCAACGAGAGGCCCTGCTCCTGCACCTGGAGCATACGCAGCGCCACCCGCACGGGGTGCGCGAGGCGCGGCGCGGCGCCCACGGCGGCAAAGCGCGCGCCGCGGCCGCGGTCGGCCATCAGCCCGGCGTCGCACTCAACCGTGCCGTCCAGCGTCAGGTTGGCGCCGCGGCCGGCGTTGGTGCAGCTGGCCGCCTCCAGCAGGGCCATGGCCTCGGCCGCCACGGTCGCCGCCTCCATACCGGTACGCAGCAGCTGTGCCGCCTGCCGGACCGGGTGTGCGGCTCTCAGAGACAGAGCGGTGCGGCGCGGCACGGGCGGCGCGAGCACAGCTCTCAATCGTGCAGAGACGACGGGAAGATGCGGCGAATCGATCAACGGTAACCGACGTGATTTTCGGTTTGCGTAAAAGATACAGGGACAGTGTGGCATACCTGATGATAGGCGACTGGTTCGCTCATATCACTTCATCAAGATTGCGCTCAATTGCATGTCATTACAACGCACTGGTCAGCCGGACGCACGCTATGTGGTGTAAGCTGCGGGCCCACAGACACAAACGGCTACAGCCCAAAAGCTACGGCCCGAACGTAGACTGTGGGGCGTACCCACGACCGTCGCGACGCGTGAGTGACCGCACACAACAATCCCAGCCACCCCCGGCGCCGCGCAGCTGCCTGACGGCGACCCCCACCCACCGACACGGCCGGGTCGCGCCCCACCCCCAGCGCCGCCGCCGATCCGCGGCCAAGCCTGACACGGGTCGGAATGCTTGCGGCCCGTTGCGTCAGCCGCGCTCGGTACGGTTCGCGCCAGCCTGCTGTGTTGAGCGATGATTGCATCAGGCGGGCCGCGGCAGCCGGCAGCCGCAGACCCGAAATAGCGCCCGGAGGCCCGCCTACCTTGAGCAGCGCGTCCGAGCACGCCTTCCGGTACTCGGCCACCTTGCTCTGACAGTGGTAGCCGGCGCCTGAGCAGTCACGGCAGCGTTAGGCGGCCGGACGCGATGGCACGCGTGCAGCGCGACGTGCGTCCGGGGCAGGACGGCGAAGGAATCAGAACGGCGCCAAATGATACGGGAGTACTCGATGATAAATAGGCGTCGCACGGCGCACGATCGTCTTATCGCGCGACTTGACGTTGCACCATGCCACATGTCACTCAATGACAGCACGCAATCACTGTGATAAATAGAGCACACTACACCATGTATAGCATTTGCCAAACAAATAAAGCTCCAAGTTGGTCAAAATCTCACTTAATCACAAGCTCAGGTAGTCCCCTACAAACATGTGTTATACCTGCCAAGCCAGGAGAGAACCTACTTTGGTTCAGTCATGCTCAACTCAATGGCCATTTGAATACATGACTCCAAATCATGGTTAGGGGCCTGGAGTAAGCTTTAAAACCCCTCAACCAACTATGGAGGTCAAGTAGCTCACAAACACATACCAAAGCATGCAAAACAGCCTGAACATACCCCAGGAAATACAAGTCATATACCAATGAACATAATACACAATACTCACCAACATGCACAATAATAACACCATTGTGTACCATGATGAAATACAATGGTCTTGAGCAACCAATGCACAACTTGTGTCAAGATGAGATGTGCTTTGATTCATCTAGCTGAAATGAAGGGCATATGGTCAGCTGCCACATGATGGAATACACATGTATCCAAGCACAATGGCTCAGAGATTGGGTATTGTTCCCAACTTAGCATGCTTGATAACATTTCTTGACTGGTACCTCCCGGTACATCGAACGTTGGTTGGGTCCACCACAACAAACCTTAATGCTGAAAACCAGGAGTTTGAGGTATTTATTACTCATATCACACATTTTTCCATGCCTAAAAACAACTGAATGTGCAAAAGAGACCGTGGAGTACATAGAGGCCACTCCTTTGATGCAAATTAGCAAGAGCTGTGCTTTAATTGCTCTCATCCATTATTGACAGAAGTCTCATTAATATAACCACTACAATACACTTAAGATAGGTTCTCCTACCACAAACCAGTCAGGGAACAGTCAATGTCTACACAAATTTCTCTACCCACAAAACTATACAGAAATTACAGCAACAGCTTAACAGTTATATATATGTGATTGGGGCAAGCATTCAATACATCACTATCAGAGTGATGATCCTCCTCACTGCACCTGCCCATCTGTCAATAGAAAACAGCTGATTGTCCTAGCATTTTATGTTTAACATACCCCTGACTCAACTTAGTTGATCTTCCACATCTGGACCAACAAAAGCATCTCAGGGATCCCCAGAACCAGGTGTGAGCAGCCAATGACAGCCAATGCACCATGGTACATGGTTCCAATATGAAACTTGGAGCCATATAAACAAGAAGGGAGGCTAGAATGCAAGGCAATAGCAAGCCAAGGTGAGGGAGCAAAGGGATTGCTTGCCCTCTTTTTTAATAGGTTTGAGGCCTAGGGACCCCTACAGATTTCTGAAGAATGCTTTCAATTATAATTCATGGATGATGCTCTTCCTGAATGATCTAGGGTGCTCCCTGTATTTGAAGAAGGAGTAAACTAAATAAATATAATAAAAAGTTGGGGAATCCTAGGAAGACATGTGATATGTGAAAACATCTGGTTGTAAAGGCTTCTCTGATCAAATTTCCCTCACAAAATCCTGCCTTTGCACTTAACCCCAAAAGCCTTGTGAGGAGGCGATGCATCTCAGTTGATGGTGACAAATAAGATTGCCTGGTAGTTGGACAATAATACTAGTTATTACACACACTGTCTTTTGTTAAGCTCCCAAGCTACTTAATATTTTTCATGCAGACCTGGAAACTTCATTGTGTCCTCATTTTAAATATAGTGCAACATGACTCATGGGTTATTAGACAAGATGATCATGTGTGGTGTGTCATACAGATCACTATTAGTGGAGATATGTATGCAGACCACATACAAGATCTTCTTATATCTAAGTTTCCATAAAAATACCATTTTTTCCTTCACAGCTGCTACCATTTTTTTATGACTGATGAACCATGAAAAACCATATTCATAAAATGTCTTCCATGGAGCAAACAATATTGACAATAAAACATGATCTGAAACATCTTATAGCCACCAAAATACACTAATAACAATCTTCCAATCCTGTTTGAGAGCTATGTATACTCATAGTACAATACCAAAGAATCAGTATCAGCATTTTGCTTTTCTAAGAGTACATGCCACAGGTACTGATCACAAATTAGCAAACCAAGCAATCAAATATAGCATTCCTTTTTCACATACAAGACTAAGTGATGATAAACAAAAGGATGGTCTTTGATCATAGAAAATCAGATGGAAATTGTATTTTAGTATCAGCAGACACAGCTAGGTGCCTTATATTACAAACAAGCATTACACACAACTTGTATTCTCTAACACAGGCAATATGGTTAATAATCATAAAACATAACATCATCTTCCTAATCAGATAATTACAATATAAATAATTTGAACACCCCAGAAGTGCAACACTTCTGTCCCACCCACTCCATTGCTGGGATGCAGCCAAATTACTGCTCAACACGAAGCATAAAAACACATGCACATCACGAATCATAAAAGGTGTAGAGCTGATGCTACAGTAACTTTATTGCATTCATATCTTCTGTAGCTGCTGGTGCTATTATTATCATTCCACTATGAAGATAACATAGTCCGATGTCCCTAAAATATTCCTGTCATATGACTATCTCTGGTGTTTGAAGTCTTGAGAACATCAGTCAGTAAAATTATTACTTTGCAGCAGAAGGTACCAATGATGACAATTATGCATACTTCTCAATATGCCATGGGCAATGACTGTTAGGGTACTACAGTTACCTAGCATCATAAATGACCTGGAAAGCACAATTTTAAACAATTTCACAATATTCTAACCTGGCTTAACACACAATGGTCAGTCAGTGCTTGAAGGGAGTGGCATATGCATTCAGCCTCCGATAAATATCATCTGAGCAAAGTATTACTTTAAAAATTATAGAACAACAAACATGTAGGAAATTCTGTTGCAAACATCCCACCGTAGACCAATTGCCCCAGTCAGCCAACAAGGCTTACACCCGACTGCGAGAACAGGGTAGAAACAAAAGAGATAGAACACTTATAAGCACACCTACCAATCTACACCCATGCTGTTTTATCATCTCACTTCCCTCTTCACAAACACTCCAAAGACATCACCATATACAACTCCGCCCACCCCACCCCGCCGCCACAAACCGCTACCATGCATTTTCCGTCCCGCGCCACAACGCAACAATGCGCTATATTTGCCTCATTTAGCGTACTACGAAAAACTTCGAGCTGCCCTTTAACCATTCAACAAAAATGAAATTAGAAAAACCAAACTGGCTTTTTCTTCTAGGTTGAATGAATCACATCCAAAATGAATATTTCACCACCGATTGGATTATTCCCATCAATATGGACAGTTTCGACCGCCGGTACAACGGAGTTGTTAACCGTAATGCATGGTTTTTTTGGTTTTCACCAAATAGGTAAAACAAATCAACGAGACTTAGTATGAAATGAAGAATTTGTACCAGAATCTAGAATATTTGACTGCCGCTGAGTTTCGTCCATTACACACCCAGGGGCGTAGCCAGCTGGTGGCGGGGGACACAGGGGACATATCCTCCCGCTAGACCCTGAGTAGCTTTCGGGACCATCGGCACAGACTATTAAGGGAAAGAAGGGCTGGCCGGGGCGACTCCGGGGCGAAATGCTGGTCCTCAATGGTCAGTCTAAGGGGCCCGTGGCGCCTGTAGGGGGTCTGCAGGATGATAAAGGCGTCTATGTTGATCCAAGATTACCAATACTGAGCAGTTGGCTCAAAGTCGGCTCGGACCCTGGAGTCCCATTGACGAAGCAGGGACAAGGCCAGTGTCCGTAATTGTTACTGAGGGTCTCCTGCGTTGGCCGGGACCCCTGAAACAAGGTGGCACCCTGCATCAAGCCTCAGAGTGTTTTACAGACTGTGTCGGCAAGGGCCTCTAGTCGAGCAGCAGCACATTTGGCTGAAAAGGAGTACGACGGGGTCCTGAAGGTCAGAGGGCCATTTGCGTTGGTCGAGGTCCCCTTGCCTGACGTGGAATGGAAACACGAGAAATTTCAATGAAATGGTCCACGATAAGACAATGGAAGGGCCTGGCCAGCCACGGACTCTAGGACGGAACAGGGGCTTTTCAGGGCCCTAAATTTTATTCATTTTGGCGATTGCTCATGCCTTTCCACCCGTAATTGGAGGTTTCATCTCTGGTGTCTTATCGGTTTACTTTACCACATTCTAACCGGCACAATAGTGATCTCAACCCTCTGGTGATAAACTGGCCGTTTCGGCTTCCCACCTCAGTTGGTGATTAGGGTATATTTTGGTGGTGAAATTGACCACCCTGGTTGTCCAGTTAGTTTTGTCGCAAACTTAAAACCCAAGACAGAGGTCATAATTGATTGCACAACGAGAACGGCCACTTCTATCACCAAAACCAACGCCCTAATCGATACGCCACCAATGGTGCCAGTTCAAAGACAGTATAGTTAATAGACAAGGCCAGGGATGGAACCTTGCACCTATTTGGGGGGGGGGGGGGCGGGGCGGGGCAAGACCCCCAATGTTGAGCTGGACCTACCCGATGTTGGGCTGCCCCTCCCCCTCCCCAATATTCGGCTGGCCCGCCGCTAAATGTTGCTCGGCCTTCGCAGCGTGGAAACTGGTTTCCCATAACCTTATTAGCTTTTTGAAGCAGATGTAAGCTACGATTTCGTAGGGACACCTAATTTGGTATTAAATAGAGACGCTTATCTGACACGATACCAAAGATTTACGTAACACGAAACCCACAAAAACTTGCACTTTGTAAGTCACCAGCCTCACAAGGAATGTATGTGCGTCTTTGGAGCTTTATGACGCTTCGTCCGTAAGCTGGCGATTTATTCAGCGATTCGTTCAGGGAAGAGTTTTGACTTCTCTAAAAAATATTATGGTCAATAATGGCACGATAAAATGAAGTGCGCTGTTCATTTTGCACTATCGTGTGGCCTTCAAGGTCAAAGTCAAGGCCAAAGGTCGGGAAACTCCACGTGATCAAAAATTTCCGGCCAGTTTAAGTTGCAAACATCAAAGTATTTTCAAGCGCAACCACCGAGTTGCGTCAAAAAGAACTGACCTCTCAAGGTCACCCCTCAATATCCAGCTTAGGCTTAAAGGATGGGGAACTCCATATCATCAAAAATTATCAGACATGTTTTCAGAAAAATCAGAGCTTTGGGTGCTCGCGTAAATAATGTTTAGGATACTCTGTAATAAACGTTTTGTGGTCCCTCTTTGCGGAAAGGCTAGATCCAGGTTTTGATTGGAATGGAAAGCAAAAAAAAAAAATGTGGTGTCCCATAACACAAAGGCTTCGTGACTCCTTTCCACGGTCCGCTTGGACATATTGCCTGTAGGAAATCCATGTTTTGATAATGCAAAATAAAGGTTTAGGCGTCCCTTTGCCAAATTGGTCGATCCATGATTCCATCGATGTCACCATAGGTATGGCAATTTCCCCTCAAACTTATTTGTCCTTTGAAAATAAATGGTTTGGGAGCTTTCAGGTGTCCCCTGGCATTGGGCTTCTCTGGAAAATGAAGGTTATGGTCCTTCAAAATTAAAAAAGCGTTGGCGCTATTTTGACGAACGTCGAAAAACGTAGAGATCTGGAATTTACATCATGGTAAGGCACGCAGAAAACCCTCTGCGAAGAAAGGTCAGAGTGCCTCAAAATAAACGTTCTGCTGCACCCTGCTCGAGGAACTTTTCCAGAACTTCGTTCGGGGTGGGAGGCACAATATTGCTGCGTCTCTTGAGAATGAAGGTTTGCAGCCCTTCGTGGGCTCTCTGGAATTGGCGCCTCTTGAGAATAAACGTTAAGGTGTCGGAAATAAAGGTTAAGTGCTCCTTTGCCGAATGGGCCAATCCAGGATTTTGTGAAACGAACACGGTACACATGAAGCAGTGCTTCGGAGTTTGGTGCCTCCATACAATGAAATTTGTGACCCTTTGCTATGTCCTTAGAATTTGGTGCGTCTTGGGAAGTCTTGGATATGAAGGCTATGCGGGTTTCAAAATGAAGTTTTGTTGTGTTATAAGGGGGTGGTTCATGAGTGTCCCAAGGGGTGTGTGGCATGGCCTCATGCTTTCTTCCACCCACCCTGAAGATACATTTGTCTGCGCTGTTTTAGCACAAGCAGACTGGGATCATCAAATTTAGACATCTCTGGAGCACTACCATCATGCCGTTCAATCAAATACCTTCCACCTCAGTAACTGATACTTCCGGGAGAACCCCAAGGGCCACTTAAAGTCGCTGCCTTCCCGCAGCCCCCGGGAGCGGCCTAGGAGCGGCGCCATTTGTGGGCGCGTGCTGTGTGCACTGTGACAGGCAGGTACGGTGGCCGAAAGTGGCTGCTTTTCCCCCGCAAATAATCCGTGTTTGAAATAAAACAGAATGCAGATCGGAATGATGAATTTCAGAGGCTTTGAGACGTTTATAAAGATAACTAAAATACAAGCATCCATTTGTTGTGCCGTGATTATCTTCACGACATAAGCTGTTGCGGATGAGCCCAGTTCGTAATATTGAATACCGTCGATATGCCCGTTCAGCACAATGCCGTTAAACCCGTACCTCCTGACATCTCGAAGTTCCCGTACTCAACGTAAAAATTGTGAGCTCATAACGCCGAAACCCGGAACTGAAGGACTTCCTTTCCTATATTCAGTCCAAATGATGACCGCAGAGAAAAGTGGACACAACTTGTGAGGACATGCGTCTCGGAAAGATGATGGGCAAGATCAACAGTTCGTCTTCTCCTCCAATGAAAAACGCAAGGTCCCCCTGGATAAGACAGCACTCCTAGCCTTATTCCCCTGAAATAACCAGGAGAAAAAAGGGATTGCCGTACTGATATTTGGGCTACATGCTTTAATGAATAGGGACATAGAAAGTAAATTCAAAATTGCTTGCTGATCCCATCCGATTTTTTTCAGGGACTACGCCTTGTCGGACGGCGGATTCTTGACGTTACCTATCACAGATGAACACTTGCTTTGGGAAATCAAACGAATCGTTAGGAAATCTAAACTACGAGTACGCTTACCTTGGAAGAACGACAATAAGCTAAAAGTTTTTAACTGAGGTCTTCTATCTCGAAGCCTAAGTGCCCAGGGAGGGGGGGGGGGGGGGGGCAGTAGATGTAATTTATGGGAGTTTGGGTTTCAAGGGGGTTACACGCAACAAATTGTTGCGAAATTAAGTGTGAACTGTGTGAAAAACATGGAAGGGTCAAAGACTGGGTCTGGGAGAACATGCACTCTATTTGTATCAGATGTATTAAACACCTGCGAAATGCTAACAACAAAACAGGATATCTCCTTCGGTGATCATTTTTTAGACAAAGCACGCTCAGGCTGAAATTCAGGGAACTTTCCATATAAGCTGATTCTCCATATACATGGATGCATATATATATATATATATATATATATATATATATATATATATATATATATATATATGGAGCATCTGTATCTCCATTCTTCTGGTTTTCTCCGAGGAATGAGGCTATTACCACTGTTCATCGATCTATGTGATATATATATATATATATATATATATATATCTCTCTCTCTCTCTCTCTCTCTCTCTCTCTCTCTCTCTCTCTCTCTCTCCCTCTCTCTCTCTCTCCATCTATATGTACATCATACCGAAACCCGGAACTGAAGGGCTTCCTTTCTTAGATTCAGTCCAAATGATGACCGCAGAGAAAAGTGGACATAACTTGTGAGGACATGCGTCTCGGAAAAAGGATGGGCAAGATCAGCAGTTCTTTTCCCCAGTGAAAAACGCAAGGTCCCCCTGGATAAGACAGCACTCTTAGCCTTATTCCCCTGAAATAACCAGGAGAAAAAAGGGATTCCAAAAAAGTGGGCAATATATATATGTATATATATATATATATATATATATATATATATATATATATATATACCATCTATGTGAATAATGTTCCCCGCAAATGCATTCAACTTACGTTATTTTGGACCTTGTACCCCTTTTAGAGTTCAAAGTCATCTACAGAGCACAGGACCATCCGGACAGAAGAGAAGTGAATCCATTCTTATTAGAGATCGGGGACCAGACGGTAACATACCCCAACCCGCATGTCTAATTGGAACCCATGTGGGTCCGAAATGGGCAGTCACATGGGGCCCATAAGGGCTGCCCATTTTGGTCCCATGTGGGCACGCCATGGGCGACCACCTGGGTCCCACATGGTCAGCCCATCTGGGGCACATATAGGTGCAAACTGGAACCCACATGGGACCCGCCTGGGCTGCCTAGTTGGGACCCACGCAGGCATGGCCAACTGGGTCTCACATGGGGCCAACTGTGACCCACATGGAGCCCACCTGGGCTGCCCAGTTGGACCCACGTGGGCATGTTCAGCTGGGACCCACATGGATTTGTCCAGCCGAGACCCACATGAGCAACCAAGATGGGCCCATATAACTAGCCCACACGGGGCCTTTTTAACCACCCCAGATGGGCCCAAGTTGGGCTTCACCAAGCTGCCCTTCCAGGTTCCATCTGATTGATGGGTCGCCCTAATGCCCGACAGACTGCTTCATGCCATCAATTATAGGACAGCTCAATGCCCATTCACGATGCATTGGTACGGAATTGCCCGGGCAACAGCACCGTTGCACAAAACATGTACTTCTCTGTTGTGTCCGATGCCACGATCACTAACCATTCAACGGTTACTATGTATTGCCACGTGACTATCTGGGAATCGATATTGCAGTCCCCTGGTTAAGAAACTAACATCATTCATACTGTCCATAGCTGCCACGCTTTCAGCAAAGCATTTTAGACTGGCGTACCCGACATCGCGAATAAAAAGTGACCTCATCAGGACAATGAAAGGCATTTCCGTTTACGCGTTCACGGAGACCACGGGATATAATTCGTGAACCTATCAGGCATTCCGAGCAGTGGCCAGTCCAATGTGCGCAAAAACTGAAGCGTATACACATTGATTACGGGACGTAAGGTATTCCGAATAAGTTTGGGAATAAGTATTCCATGCTGTTAGCCCCAACGCTGCGTAAGTGTTGAAGCAACTCGGTTCAACTGCGTAAGACGGGCGACTGGCTCCCTCACGGGCTTGCTATACAAAAATTCACCATATTGCCACACTGTAACCATGCCTGCTACTGTTGTGTGTGTGTGTGTGTGATTGGGGCTATACGACGCACTCAGCTGCTGAGGCTATATGGCGTCGCCTGCCTCTCACCCTGGCAGGAAGGGCGGGCACCGCGGGGAATCGAACCCCGTACCTCTGGTTTCCCAGACGCGCAGTAGCCAACGCAGACGCGCCAACCACTACACTACCGGCACCCCTGCCTGCTACTGTTGTCTTTCCTACTTGATGATGTAGGCTTTGGGGCGCACCGACTACAATGGTCATATCGCGCTTTTCCGACTTGCCCCCCCCCCACACTTCCAAGAAAACCCCGGCTACGCATTACCGATATCATGCAGCTGGTAATGCGTCGTCCGTAAGAACGCATGCCGACAATAAGTGCGTCGTCTTCGCCCGGGAATTTGAAACGGGTGGGACAATTCAACAACGCATGCAACTACGTCTAGCCTACGAACCTCACGCGCACGTCCGGGCACACTAGCTTCAACCCATGGTAAACTTCTCGCGCTTCCAGGCACCTGTTTGTGATCAACGCGACTCAACCGTTTCTCACGAAGCGCTGTGACCAGTAATGGTCACACAAGGTGGTTGAAACCCAATCGAGCATTTGGGGCTGGCGCGGTGATTCTGACTGGCGTGCCATATATCCCCCACAATCGAAACCGCAGGCCCGGTCTGTTACATTTAAAACGATGCGTTTCTCAGACGTCAGCGCCTTCATGTTGGCGAACATTTCGAGTGTGGAGGGACTTCGTCTAGTGAAGCTATTTCCTTCCACAGGCAATTCAAAAAAGTCAACAAAAACAGCCAGGTTTCAAAGGACACCAGCCACGTGTATTTGATCCATCAAATCGGCTCACTTACAAAGCAAGACTTCATGTCTTAACTTGATGCAGCACACACACGAGTCCGACGTCCCACGTGCAGCGGCCTAATCCAGCTGAAAACAGACAAAACCAAAGTAAGCTTAAGCTGCAGCACAGCTTACGTACGATCCATGCGATAGACCTATGTTTAGTACAGCGTGAATCACTACACTGGGATAACAGGCGTAAACCGATATGAATCCAAAGCGGTACTACAAGCGAAATACGGCTTACGCGTAACACGTACGTCAACGTACGACATTACCACATGAAACGAATGATTATTGGCGGAGATGAGGCAAAGAAGAGGAAAAAGACAATGATGCCGCGTGCGGAGTTAAGGGCGGGGGGGGGGGTGAGTTCCACATCTGAACGGGGCTTAGAACTAAGGAAGTCATCTTCAACATCATTCGATACAGTTCACAGCCCTGCTCTTCTTGAGGCATAGACTCCTCTAGTTTCTGAGTTACACGTCCGCGAAGACGTGCAGACTATTTCGGGGAGACTATTTCAATCCCACCAAAGTAACTACGGTGCCACAATGCCGTTCAAATCCTACTATTCCAGTAGCCATGCGGCTATCAAGACCACGAATTGTCCAGTGGTTCACATCTAACGTTCGCGAACATGATTTCCGGATAACACGGCCATCAACTGGCTTGCAATCAATGTTGTGCAAGGCACCGTGACGTAATCAAACAATCACGCGTTGAGGAGCATATCTCGATACATTAAAAGTATGCCATTGTCATAACTGAACTTATTTTATCATATCTCATGAAATACCTTCAACATGTTTATATGCAGAATGCAATACGACTTCACGCTACCAGAATCTGTGCCCTCCAGCACCCCCTCCCCCCGCGTAATTCGTTGGCCTTATTCCATTGCCCTCTGACCACCGAACCCAGACATGTGACCTGCTCATCCCGTTTATGAAGCCTGAGGCACTTGGATACTGGATTGACAGCCGCTCAGTTCGATGCTGATGTGCTAATTTTGAGCAAGGGGAGGCGTAGCAGACAGTGAGCCACAAACTGGGGTGTGTAGCACGAAAAAATATCGACATCCCCGCCACCCAACTGGCCGAATATCAGAACACTGGTGCTCATGGGCTAGCCTCGTAGCAAGGGTCGGAGGGTGGGGAAAATGGTTTACATTTACCACCAAAATGTAAAAGAGGCTTCTCCCTGAATTTAGCCTCTCGCTCTTCTCAAAGATGGGGGAGGAAGGAGGGTGGAGCCGAAAATACATACCGAAAGACAGCCACACCCCTGATCACATTACTGCCCTGTAAGCCATCATGGCAGTGCAAAGTGTAACAGCCACGAACAATTAACACAGACACAACAATGGACGGCAAAACCCATGGATAGGATGCAAACGCGTAGCGAACATGGCCAATAAGTGGCACTCAGACCAGCGACCTTAAAATACGTTTGAATGGTTTCCAGTAAATGATGACATTCGTTTTGACGCAACTTCTCGTTACGTGCCGTGCATGGGTATGTGTGCTTGTGTCATTGAAACTTAATGACGTGTTCAGCTGGTGCAGCTATATGGCGTCACCTCCCTCTGACCCCGGCAGGAAGGGCGGCACCACGGGGAATCGAACCCCCGTATATCTGGCTTCCCCAACGTGCAGTGCTTAACGCAGACGCATAAGCTATCACACTACCGACAGCCCTTATGCGCCGAAGTGGTAACAGGTCGGAAATCAATACGACGCATCAAAACAGTACAATCCTTTTATCATCCGACATTGATATTGACACGATTTTTCCAGCTCCCAAAACCAAGCGTAGAAACCCGCTCGCCAGGACGCGGCTGCGCGGAACGACGCGTGATTTTGAGCGTGTTCACCGCCAATTCAATCTTAGCCTCCACGACCGAGATCTGCTAGGAACGGCCGCCACCCAGTCAGCTGAGGGTCAGATGAAGAGCCTCCAGCCCGATGCGTGGGCAACGTAGTGCCTGAACTGAATTATGACACACTCCTCTGCTTCACAGTCCTGCAGCAGATAGCTGGTTCCAACGCGCGCAGTTGATGGGGGGGGGGGGGGGGGGAGTGGGTGATCTGCTCCTACCATCATCTCAAGAGCCGGTGAGACAAAGAGTAACGAAATTGACAGAATAAGTGGGTTCTTTGGGGAGCTTTGCTGTGTTAAATGCTCGGGACCGAATGTCAATATATTGATGGTGAAATGAGGTCAAACACCTCAAAGTTCGAACATTCACCACCTCTGGTGCACCCGGCCACGCGCGAGCTCCGAAGAAAAAGCTGAAGTGTGCAAACAGCAGTACATGGAATATACAACCATTTTGGCTCATAAAAACAAAATGTCCATGCCCTGACTTTTTTGGCATTGGGGATCAGGCAGATGGCATCATTCTCACTCCACAATGGAGTGAGTGGATGAGAACTTAGCCACAGGCCCCATATGAAAGGGGTGGTTACACTTGGAAAATCTCTTGCTGGGTTCAGTGGGTGCCGTGACTGCATCCTGCCCAGCATCTCTGCTTCTCATTTCCCATCCCCTGCCATGCCTTGTGAAATACAGAACAATCCTCACAGCCAGATAGCATGAGGACATGCAACTAACAGCATGATATAAGCAAACACAAGGGCTGTATGTGCAACTCAGCTCAGTTATCTGACCCAATGTGCAAATATTCTGGCACTTCAAGGACAGGGATGCCATTTTCTACCATATAATCCCAACATGACTGGGCTACCAGTATACTGCTCCTCTCCTTGCTCAGGATTGACCAATCAGCACCAAACCAGGCCGCAGTCAACCCAGCATCTAGGCATCCACACTCTGCAAATCCCCAAGCATGTTAAATGTTTGGGTTGGGACCAGGACACCACAGACAATGGTAAATAACCAATCTAATGCATACAGAGGCTGTCAGGATGCTGGAAAACTGGTAGCATCACCTAAGTAAGACATTCTTCACACCCAAATAATGAAGTTCAAAACATGTTCTGAACAAGTGTGTTAGCAACCAATTGGAAAGATGCCAATATCACATTCTTTAAAACCAAGCTTCAAAGTGGGGCAGTGACTTAAATGGGCATAAACTGGGCCTCATAAAATATCTGTGAATGACAATTCAATGAGGTTGATTACAAATGCAGAGCCTGATCAGACTCACAGCATGCCATTTTGCAAGTAAAAATTACTGGTTAGTTAGGGAGTGAAATACTACTGTGGTGTTGCTCTGTATGCTCAACTCATGAGTTTATCTTTCATACATGTTGATCAAAGCCTTTAGCACTGGTTACCAAAGGTATCCAGCTTGCATACCTTAGTTTTGAGTATCATTTTAATGATCTACCCAATATCTGGGCAACCAGCATATGCAAACATTGTGTATCCTTGGAGGATGGGGACATGGCAAAGCATTACACTGGCTTGCAGCAACACTTGGAAGGTTGGGACACAGTAAAGCATTACACTGACTTGCAGCAACACTTGGAGGATATGGACACAGTTAAGTGTTACCTGACATGCAGCAACAATCAAATGTCAATGATGCTGCACAAAATTATGCCTGCCTGCAAAATGTTGCTGATTTTAATGAATGATTTAGAGCACAGCTGGGAAAAACTGAAACTCAGAGCAGCTCTCACCACTTTGGGACTAATAATTCCTGACATGGGCAAGTCAGCAGAAGCTTCCCCTGTGGGTTGGCTAATGTTGCAAGATCCAGGCTGACTTAAAGGTCTAATCTGTCTGAACCAAAATAACAGCAGAATATCTAGTCAGAATATCTAGTCCTTACTACTGGTTCCTCACTGGAATATATAGATGACCAATAGGAGCTAAAAATAAACATCCTTGGTAGGGACTGTATGCAGAGCCTCCAGAGTAGCAGCCCATTACCTGAACTGCATAATGGACATACCAGTCTTTGATCATGATACATTGACTGTACCTTCTTAAATCCAATGTTGTTGGCATATTCTCTGAAGCACTGCCTGCACAGGTTGAGGCCATACTTCCGGATCAGGCCATGCCGATTGGAGCAGGCCCGACTGAAAAAATGGGCATTGTTATACATAGTAAAATCATTTGTAAGACCTAGGCGTTATCTAAAAATTGATTACTCTGGAAAATATAATTAACTCATGTGTATGATAAATAGGCCAAAGACTGATTACTATCACTTCATCAATGTGCTGAAAAACCATCACTCTACAACTCTTATACTCCATAACTTGATGAGGCAGACAAAACTATTTAGACCATGTTTATATCTTTAGTTTCCCTGTTCAAACTGTGAAAGGGTTGCACACCTGCACCATTCTAGCTCCCTGGAATAGCTGGCTTTATCTTTTCCCTACATTGTGCACATTGTGTGTATATATATATATATATATATATATATATATATATATATATATATATATATATACACATAAATGTATGGATGCACATACACATGGTATATATGCAATGAAAATATATAGGATTGAATCAGCCTGCTATTGAGTTATCACCTCTTTTTCTGTTACCTGGTAAGCATCACAGAAATGGTGCAACAAGTTTCTTCACAGAGAACATTTGCTTACTCCAGGCCAGCAAAAGGTGAAAAATAGGTGCATCATGCATTAATGACAGCTTTCTTTGCAACTTCCACATCAGGAAGTGGACATCATGCATACAAACACAAACAATGCTGCTTCAAATGCAGTTGTAAAAACATTGTAGACATAACGTAACCAAACACACTGCATTGACCAGGCTAGTAAGGACTGGCATGTAAAATCAAACTAAAAAATCGATGATGCAATACAAAACATGTAAACTTAAATCAACACTTGACATGCATTGCAGGCCAGCATAATGACATATGATCATGTTTGGAATGCTATGATTATGTACAACGACCGCCATGAATGCCGCGAATGTCATGTAACGACAATACATGGTAATACCCTTCGTAAAACCATACCAAAAGCATACAAGTATGCCGTCATATTTACCAGCAACGGGATCCTGCACCATACTTCCGAGGATGAGAGTACCAAATCGATGCAAACGGCATTTTCGCCGCCGGTGCACCCACAGGTCACAGCGGAATCGGTTCAAAGGACGGGCAGCGTTGTCATTCTCCAAAAGACGAAATATTTCTTTTTGTCAAATTGGATGGCAAAGGCTGGTGCGCGCAGATGTGTCCAGGTTAGTTATGAGATCAAAAACCACACAGAAAACTAAAGGTTTCCGGAGCGTTTTTAAAACATAATTCCGTGCTGAACACAGTCTATTGCTATTGCACAGCACTATTAACCCACCATCCCACTATCATCAACAGCGCGGGCACGGAGTTACGGGGCGCCCCCCCCCTTAGGTTCCGAAGGGCCCGTAGAGCCTGTTTGGAAAGCACGATTGATGGCCCAATCTGAGCGCCCAAAGGATGCGAAAGACCGGCCGGAAGTTGTATTCAAGAACCCCGGCCACAGGGCCGCCACTCACATGCCAGCCAGAGGGCCATACGCGATGATTCGGGGTCCCCTGAGCAGAAAGGACCTATTTGTCGCTCAGACACCACCAGTATTGCGCAGTTGCCTCCGTGGCGGCATGAGCCTCGGGGCCCATTTCCCAAGCAGGGACAACGCCGGAGCCAGCGATTTGCATTGGTCTTGGCCACAGCGTCTACCAGGGCCCTGCAGCGTCTAAAGGGGCCCTGTGTTGGCAAGGGGCCCGATTCAGCCAGAAGCAGCGTTCGTGGAGGCCCGAGGAGCTTGGAGGGTCTACCGGGTCCGACGATCAAGGGCCCGGCTGAAGGGTCGAAGGGCACGAAGGGCTGGTCGGGGTCTCATTCAGCGGCCTTGGCTTGCGGGGATGGGCCCTCAAATGACAGTCTAAGGTCCATTTGCACCGATCGGTGACCCCTGACTCGACATGGGCTCATATGTCGGTTAGGCATGCCGATCGTGTAGGTATGGGCCTGAGGGCCCAGTTGGCAATTAGCTACAGCCGAAGCCAGTGATGCTCACTGGTCGAGCTCCGGTATCTTTCAGACGCCCATAGCGCCTAACGGAGGGTTTTGTGTTCGCAAGGAGCCCCGAGGCCACCAAAGACAGTGTCCGATGAGGCTCGAAGAGAGCCCCCGGTGGTCCATCGGAACCGACGATCAAGGGCCGATTGAAGGGCATTAGGGCCGGAAGAACTGACTGAAAGTCACCTAAAATCGCGTCACGTGGGGCCGTGGCCCGGAACATCAGCCCGAGGTCCTCGCGCACCGTTTGAGGACCCTATACACCAGAGGACGCTAGGACAGGACACCTTCGATGTCTGTTGATGTATTTACAATAAACTGCGAAGAGGCACGATGGTACATGACATTATCCGTCATCAGGTTCAATAACACAACGAGGAAGTGGTTAAACGCGTCGCATTCGTTCATCTAGCCCATCCGTTGCTAACCATATAGGTCATTGACCTTTGGATGACCTCATATGACCATGCATGTCCTAACGTGACCTACTGTAACCTCATCCATTCGAATATGACATGCTTTCAGTGGAGTATTCGAATTCTGCGTCCAGAATCACCTCCAAACTGCCTCTTTTGTGCCAAGCATACGTTTTGCAAAGGGCAGATATAGAGGTAGACATGACCTTGGCCAACGCCATGCACTCTGTGGTTATATGATAGTTGTGCGCGTGAGGTCTGCCCGAGAAAGTCTACTTGTTACATTTTGCTGACCCTGGAGTATTTGATCCGCAAGAAACGCTGCCACAGTCCCCGTCTGTCGCGGGAGAGGCCGCAGATGATGTCTACAAAAAGATGCGCAGGCAGCTCAGGTCATATTTTGTTCCGTAGAAAAATATAAACTACGAGTGCGATGTGTTCCGTCAAACGATGCAAATGGAAGGTGAGTCCACTGACGCATTTGTGGCTCGCCTCAGGTACCCCGCCAGCACAACAGATTTGCCGCGCCACAGGCAAATGTCCAGGCACAAAACGTAGTGCAAAAACAAAAGCCCGCCCCAAACGTGGTGCAAAAGAAGATGCACCAACGCAACCAGCCCACTCACAGTGTCCCGAACACAGAAAGATGCACAAGATGCAACAGCCCGAAACATGGCCAGTGGGAGCGCCCCTTTAAAAAGCAGGACTGCTTTCACTATGGAAAACGGGGTCACACTCAAACAGCATGCCACAACAAAGGTCAGCATGGTTTTAGCAGAGAAAAACAGATGGACCAAGCACACAATCTGCAAGCCCAGTATGAAAGCCCACCTGAGGAGCATCTTCTGAGGATCAACATGTCTATGCAGGGGACAACAGCAAGTGAAAGCCGTCCAATCGAGACAACAGTGCAAGTGGATGGAAAGCCAGTGCAGTGGGAAGTCGACACTGCTGCAGCAGTGTCACTGATGCCGGAACAGCTCTTCCGCGAGCTGTGGCCAAACAGGAAATTGCAGGAATCCAGACAGAGACTGAAAACCTACAAAGGTGAGCCCATCTCCGTCCGTCCAGGTGGCTCAGTTGGTTAGAGCACCTGCCTTCCGACCCACCCACCCGTGGCGGGGTGGGTTCGAGTCGCTTTAGGGCGCTCGCTATTTGCCCCTGACAGGTATGGCCTGCGGCCGGTGGCAGCGGTCGCGCTAAAGGTCAGTTGACGTCAGAGGGCAGGACGGACCGTGCCGAGCATTGCGGCACGTTAAGCTTTCGCCACCAAATTCTGCCGTTGACATGGAATTGCGCGATCGGATGGTAGGGGTCAGGGCTCGCACAACAAGCACTGCTTAGCGTGAGCTCTGATCCCGGAAATCCATCCATTCGAAGGGTTCGGATAAAATCTTCTTTCTTTAAAAAAAATATGTGGTAGGGGAAGTCAAGGTGATTGTGCAAGAAAGTGACACAGGTGTCCAGCTACTCCTGATCGTAGTGCGTGGATCCAGCAAGCCCCTGCTGGGTAGAAATTGGCTCTCCAAGGTGGAACTCAACTGGCATGCAATCTTCCACGTGAAGGCTCCACTGGAGGAAAGAGCACAAGAGATACTGAAAAAGTTCCCAAATCTGACGAAGCCCGAGTTGGGGAAAACCAACACTAAAGCCCACCTGGAGATAAACCCGAACGTCAAACCAGTGTCCTGCAAACCGCAATCGGTGCCCCAGGCTCTGCGGCCACTGGTGGAAGAGGAGTTGGATCGTCAAATCGAAGCCGGAATCCTAAAGCCCTGCAAGTCAGCACATTGGGATGCACCCCTGGTGACAGTGTTGAAGCCGGATGGTTAAGTGAGACTCTGCGGTAGCTGCAACCTAACCGTAAACAGAGCCAGTCACTCGATGGGGCGCAGTGCGACAAGACGCCTGCAGGGCAACGAGGGTTCTTCTGTCAGAGGCTCCCTGTCTCGCACACTTCGACGGTAATGCACCAGGCATCGTGTCAGCAGATGCCAGCTCCTATGGCCTAGGAGCTGTGTTTTCTCAGATGACACCAGAAGGAGAACGCCCAACCGCCTTCGCCTCCCGTACTCTGAACCAAGCTGAAAAGAACTACAGTCAGATCGACCGTGAAGGTCTGCCTCTGGTCTTCGCCGTCAAGCGGTTCCACAGCTTCATGTTTGGAAGACCCTTTACGCTCAGAACCGAGCACAAGCCGCTCCTGGGGCTGCTCGGGAAAATCAAGAACCTGCCAGAAGCCGTCTTACCACATATGGTGAGATGGAAGGTCACGCTGGACGTCTACCAGTACCAGCTGGCACACGTCCCCGGCAATGCCGAACAGCATGCAGCAGCAGACGCGCTCAGCCGCCTGCCAACCTCTGAAACGGTGGCAGAGGCTGCAGTAGCCCCGCTCATGGAAGTCATCCAGATGCTTGAAGCTATTGATGGACTGGTAACTGTGAACGTTGTTCGAGAATGGACCAGAAGGGATGCCGTTTTCTTTGAAGTTCTGCACTTCACCCGGTACGGATGAAGTCAGAGGTGTCGCCAGCTCTCCTGCCGTACCAGTGCCGAAATGCCGAGCTGAGTATCCAGGGCGGTTGCTTGCTCTGGGGATGCCGAGTGGTGATGCCACCACGGTGCCGCCAAAAGGCACTCTAGCTCCTTCATGAAGGACACCCCGGCATTTGCTCTATGAAATGTCGTGCCCGCAGTCACGTCTGGTGGCCCCTGGGCGCAAAATGACCGCAGTAGTCGACGCGCCCTAAAACTCCAATCAACAACAACGTCTGGTGGCCTGGGATGGACTCAGACATGGCCGGGCTCACCAAATTCTGTGGTGCATGCCAGCTACACCAGAAAGCAGCGCCTAAAGTGCCCTCTCAACCATGGAGGTACCCAGACGCTCCGTGGGACAGAGTACATGTTGACTACGCTGGCCCTATAGAAGGCAAGATGCTCCTGATCGTGGTGGATGCGTGTAGCAAATGGCCAGACGTCTGGATAACCAACGACGTCTGCACAAGAACGACCGTAGACCACCTACTGATTACCTTCGCCAAACATGGGATCCCCGTAGTGATCGTGAGCGACAACGGTGGTTGCTTCACCAGTAAAGAGTTTAGCGACTTCACAAGCGCCAACGGCATCCGCCATGCCTTCGCCCCTCCGCTTCACCCTACATCTAATGGTCAAGCAGAAAACATGGTGAAGCTCGTGAAAACCGGAATCAGGAAGCAGCGCCTCGCTCCTCTGCTCACGAAGCTCCAGAGGTGGTTGTTCCAGTACAGGAATACGCCACATACAGCAACAGGGAAAGCCCGAGCAGAGATGCTGTTCAAACGCGCTCCAAGAACGCGCCTGACGCAGCTTCGCAGCAGCTTAGCTTAGAGGCGGACTTAGAGGCATCAAACTGGCTTCAAATTGCGAGATGTCTTTCGAGTCAATCCACGGGATTTTCCACGCGCTGTTTTTTTTTTTTTAGTTTGTAAGGACAGGGGTCGTATGGACCGCTTCCATCTTCAAGAAAACGACGGATTGTGAGCGAAAATTGAACGGCGCAATACGACGGGGTATCTGAATGCTCTCCTGACTTACAAATGCCGTTGAATACAGATGTATCGGCTGCCTCATAAAGACTGGGGGCACAATAAATCGTAAGCAACGAAACGAGCAGGTAGCCTTTGT